TGCTGTAGTTCCTTTATAGCCCAACATTAGCCGCCTTTAGCTTAGCGGTGGTGACGTGAAGTCATGTGACCGTGCTGTAGTTCCATTATAGCCTTACGTTTTACTTTTTACTTCTGGAGATTGCATTTACGCTTCAAGTATTCTGAAAGTGGTGTAAATATGTGTGATTATCCTGCTGAACAAAACATGTAAATATCACAACAGATCTTATTTTCTGCAATAATCCAAAATACAACGGCTAAATCCCATTGACTTCTCTTCGGGGGAATAAAGGGAGATGCTATCTTGCCTTCAGAAATATGTAAATTCCTGAAACACTGTAGTATCAAACAAATATTACATTTTTTTGAGACAATTTGCTCACCTGGCTGGAGGAGGTCTTCTCGGTGCTGACGGGGTGATGCGCCTGCAGGGGGGGAGGGTGAGACATGGGGGTGTGCAGGGGTCTGTGGAGGGACGTTGGCGCCTGTTGGAGTTTTGGGAGCTGTGGCGTAACCAGGGTTTTGATTGGCGTTCCTTGAATCACGACTTTCACTCCGGAGGCAAATGCTGGTGCAGTTAGGGGTCTGTCTTTGGGGCTCGGGGTCAAAAGTTTGGGCTGAATCTGCTCCCGTAGTTTGGGGAGTTTCTTAGTCAGAGTGAGGGTGGAGGGGAAGGCGGAGGAAGAGGAAGGCTGGAGGATTTGAGGTTTGCTTTGGAGTTGTGGCGGTGGTTGTGTTGAGGTGGAAATGGAAGTAATTTGGCCCGAAAGAAGCTGAGTTGCTGCAAGATGGAGGGTTTGTTTTGTTGGGTCTGCAGCTGGTTGGCTGGAGCGATAAAATAAGCCGGTTTGGGGGTCCAGGGTGTCGCCCTCCAGCTCCCCCACCTCCAACACACTGTCTGTTTTACCGCTGCTGTCAGAGGGCTGAGGGGAAACAAAAAGAGGACACTTTTACTTTAATTTACAGGAAGACAACAGGACATGTGCATGGTATTAAAACACAAATAGCATTGGATAAAGTTCATGAACATTGTATAAGATGCACATCAGAAAGAAAAGAGGACAATGAGAAGGAGAGGGTTTGTATACTGTTCCCTTTTGCAAATGTTTGCTACTCCCTGTAACTGCAAGTCTATTTCATTGCAACAGGTGAAATGTTCTCAACTGTCTTCGAAAAATAAAGAATTGTAAAAAATAAAGAAATAGCCGAATGGAGAAAATCACAATGTTTTTAATTAAATATTGACATTTTTGAGACGATATTGGAGTTTTGAAAATAGCTGCTTTCAAAAAATATGAACACTGATCATTTTGATAAATGATCATATATAATGTGGATAGAATATTGATTTATTGACCATCCCAAATGTAAGAGACTCCTTGACCCCATATACATATATATTTATCTTCCTTAATAACCATATACGTACATTCAGCTACTCCATGTTTTACCAAATGCTACTAAATATTTGATATTCTTATAATCCCTATTTATTATTATTACTATTAAGATCATAGGATTTACATAACATTATAAATCAGTAAATGATCCGAGTACTTCTATTGAACTTTTTAAATCTCAGCTAAAAACTCACCTCTTTGCACTGGCTTTTAAAACTAGTTGAACATAACATTTTGATATTTGTATGTGTTTTTATACGTTTCTAGTTATTGACGTTGTTGTTGTTGTTAGTTGGATGGTGGGAGATTCTAGCGAGAGATATGGGATACAAAAAAAGGTGTTTTAAACAGCAAGCCAAGCCCACAGCTGAGGCTCAGCCCCGCTCCTGTCGCTCGCTTGCGGCAGACCACGCTTAAAAGTTTGTCGGGGAGACGCCTGGACAACAACAGCGATAGCTAAATGGGGGCTACAGCTTAACATCGTGGAGGACGAGGGGCTGCGTTAGATAATTCGGATCTCATCCAACGTGTCGACTGCACATCAGAGCGCATTATTCTGGCCCACAGTTTGAACTTCAGTCTCAGGCTTTGACTGAAGATGAAGACAGAGGAGCGGCATTTAGCCGACAACTGTAAACAGGCTTGTCTGTTTGAGCAACTGGCTCAGTGCAGAGAAGTACAGAGAGAGAGAGAGAGAGAGAGAGACAGAGAGAGAGAGAGAGAGAGAGAGAGAGAGACAGAGACACAGAGAGAGAGAGAGACAGAGACAGAGAGAGAGGGAGAGGGAGAGAGAGAGAGAGAGAGAGAGAGAGAGAGACAGAGAGAGAGAGAGACAGAGACACAGAGAGAG